TAGACTCATCCCACATTGCTGTCCGAATTTCATCAAAATCCCTTGTGAGAGCTTTCACATCCGGCACGGTTGGCAAGTTATCAATGTAAGGAATGACGTCACTTTGGACTCGTACACTCTTCGTCTAGGGGGGTCTCTCTTCAAATCAGGTCCTTCCTCCTCATCCTGCTCATCACCATCCTCACGAAAAAAGGGTGTCTCGTCTCCGGATTCATCGGCATTGTTATCGCAATCACTGTTCTGTTCCTCACTCTGTGCATCTGCCAGATCCCGATATAATACGTCGTTTTCGGTCAACTGAGTGAGTACGGGTGGTTCAACTTGCTCGTTTTCACTGCACAACCAACAAAAATGTAAGCTACTGAATTAATAAATGCTTTCCATATGGCTATATCACTTCACTTACAAGTCGTAATATGATAAAATTCCATGATGGACGTTTTTAATTAGGTGATGACTACCGGATGAGCCACTTGTAAAATTCATATCTGCCCGGTACCCCCTATTAAAAATATATGAGCGTTAATACAAATTCAATACGCCAAAAATATACATAATTAACACAAATGAAAATTGAAGTTTACCACTCGCCTTGTAAATTATGAAAAACAGGGTATAAATTATTTTCTCGCTGCTCATTCGCCGGCGGTGATAAGTTTAAATCAAGGAAAACTCTTTCATCCGAAACCTGTCCGGCAAAAATTGCTTCAGAATAACCACACGATGACTGGGGGTTATCTCTACTACGCACAACTTCATTTTTGGAACGTCTTCGACCTTCACGTACATCTCCAACATTGTGATTAGAAGAAATTCCCGGCATTCGTCCGGAGTCCTCATAAAATCACTCAAAGTTTCATCATCGTCGATGTTAAACTCCGAGTAAAAAGCAACCCCTTGCGGAGTGACAGAATACGGATATCTTCCGGTTACTTTAAATATCACTGAATGTTTTCTCACACTCATTTTTTTGCATAACAACGATATCAATTTATCGTACTCTATTGTAAGTGGNGATTACTGGTGGGGCCAAGAAAAAAGAGCATAGCGCTATAGCGCCACAATACTTGGCGCTATACATTAACGGGACAGTTAACGTTAATGTATAGCGCTAAGTATTATACATAAAAATGTCACATTGTTTTCCCACTTATTTATGTATTTTGAGTCCAAAAGAACCACAATTGGGTTCCGGACTCATTCATCTACCTATACTCTGCATATTCCACTCAGAAAATGGAACGACAGAGAGGACAAGTACTATGTTGATTATCGAACCATTTGCCCAAACACCTCGTATGAAAGAAATGCTTGCACGACAACTCACTCACCTTTTCGTCATCTTTAAACTTACTTAAACACACACAACACTCCATTGTCGCCCCTCTGCCATCACAGCTTTTCTCAGCTTTACACCTATTCTTACACAAGGACTCGTACCTAGTAATTGACACTCTTCTTTCTCTTGAGCCACTGCTACTACTGCTTTCATTAGAAACTGATGTTTCTTCTTCTTGCGAATTGGATTGATCCCAAGTAGCACCCACCATTTGAAGCATTGATTTCAACATGTTCTTGATTAAGGCCGCTGATAACACTGTGTTCATTACCAATACCGGTAGCATTCCTTCAGCTGGACTTGGAAAACTCGAAAGCCCCATTTGTTATTTTACTGTTTCTGAATATGTGTAGCTGAAATCTTGGGTTTTTGTGAAGAGAGTTGAGAGGAAAAGGTGAGAGAAAGAACGGAGTCAATTCGCGCATACCAGATGTTTGATATTTGGCCAAATCAAGTTGTGAAAACCGGTACCAAATAAATATGGAATTGCGAGGTCCTAACCACGAATGGGTTTGACCTGGGGTTAAGATCTTAACCAAATATTAGGTCAGCAAGCTAGACACGTGGCTACACGTGTACGATTCCCGTGTGGGGGATAGTGATTTGATTAAGAATTGGCTTAAATTTTGGGCCCTCTAGGGGTGTAAGTTGGGTACTATTAGAAGGCCACGTTTACGTTTGTTTTTAGCAGCCAATAACACAGTGGCACATGTCATGGTTAAGGACCTTTCAATTGAGGCCTAGGATAGTGGAAAGTGGGACATTTGCATCTATATCCGCTTTTTGGTTACGTTTTAACTTGTGTCCGTCTTGCAAAATAAAATTACAAGCGTACTCACTTTTTCGCGTAATTTCAGCATATAGGGCTGAAGTAGCAAAGGCAATCACGTAAAATTTCAGCATTCTAGTAGACAGGCATGAAGTAGCAAAAATTGCTGAATCAAGTGTGCTGAAGTTTTTATTTGTAATTGCTGAACTTAAGCATAGTAGCTGAAGTTTTGTTCTCTATTTGCTGAAGTCTTTATTTGTAATTGCTGAACTTAAGCATAGTAGCTGAAGTTTTTTTTTTTGTCCTGGATTCATTAGTTTTGTCATTAAGCTTTTTCAAAAACTTCAACAGAAGATACTGAAGTTATTTAGTTCATTTATAAAACGGAAAAAGTCCAAAAATATCCTTGAACTATTCAAAATAGCTCAAAATATCCTTCGTTTGTTTTTTGTGCCAAAATATCCCTGTCGTCTATGTTTTGGCCCAAAAATGTCCCTAAACCGCTAGTTTTGCCATTGAAGCTGACATGGCAGTCCAACTGTGTTAGAATTGCTTACATGGTCGTCCACCTAAGCAATCCATATGTGAAAATTATTTTTTCGGAAATTTTATTTTTCCAAATTTTTTTAATAAAATATAAAATCGACATTTATTCTGAAAAAATAAAAAAATTCGAAAAAAATATTTATTTTGAATTTTTTAAATTAAAATACAAAATCAACACTTATTCCGAAAAAGTAAAAATTTTATGAAAAATTATTCTTGATTGGGTTTATGATTTGATTAAAAAAACTCCATTGTTCTCTTATGTGAATTTATGATTAATTTGTGAATTTCGGAGTTATGTTTTTGAATGCTTTTGAATCCAGTAATAGCGTAGTTATGTCTTGGAACATTATCCCTATATAATTTTAACCCCGTTCTTTAGCTCCCAAAAAAAAAATTAACACACAACATTTACAAGAAAAAAATTAAAACTTTATTTGTACAACATCAAAGACACTGGTTTCTTAATCCTAAACAAGTTGGGGTCGGTTATATGAATTCTCGATATCTATAATCATACATTCACAAAAGAGAACAATGGAGTTTTTTAATCAATTCATAAACCCGAATCAAGAATAATTTTTTCGTAAATTTTTTACTTTTTTTCGGAATAAGTGTTGATTTTGTATTTAATTACAAAATTCCGAAATAAATATTTTTTTTCAAAATTTTTTACTTTTTCCAGAATAAATGTTGATTTTGTATTTTATTAAAAAATTCTGGAAAAATAAAATTTTCGAAAAAATAATTTTCACATATGGATTGCTTAGGTGGACGACCATGGAAGCAATTCTAATCCAGTTGGACTGCCATGTCAGCTTCAATGGCAAAACTAACGGTTTAGGGGCATTTTTGGGCCAAAACATAGACGGCAGAGATATTTTTGGCACTAAAAATAAACGGAGGATATTTTTGGACCTTTTCCGTTTATAAAAACTTCAGCACTAAATAAGCTAAAGTTTTTTGTCCTGGATAAGCTTTTTCAAAAACTTCAGCAGAAGTTGCTGAAGTTATTTAGTTCATTTGAAAAAACTTCAGCACTAAAAGCTGAAGTTTTTTTTGTCCTGGATTTATTAGTTTTGTCATAAAACTTTTTCAAAAACTTCAGCAGAAGATACTGAAGTTATTTAGTTCATTTGTAAAATCTTTAGCACTATACAAGTTGAAGTTTTTGAAAAAGCTTTCTAACATACTAGATAATAATCAGATTGCCAACAGTATCTAAATCATAAATTTTGGAAACAATAAACGTGAAAAGAACATAATTATCATTGTCTACTAACTTATGTACGTGAAAATATTTACAAATTATTGTATACTAACTTACGTAATTATTTATAATTTATTTTTAAATAATCTAATAAACATATTTATGACAATCATCCAATAATCTGAAGTTTCATAGCAGCGCCAAAAGAAGAAGAAGAAGAAGAAGAAGAAGAAGAAGAAGAAGAAGAAGAAGAAGAAGAAGAAGAAGAAGAAGAAGAAGAAGAAGGAGGAGGAAGAGGAGGAGGAGAAAAGGGCTGAAATTGTTTAAAAAGTGGGTACAAATTAAAAAATTAAAAAATTAGTTATAGATTAAATGAAAGCGACCAAATAAGACGTCATGCCCAATTTTTACGTGAAAAGTTCTTCATCTGCAGGTGCAATTTGTCATCGGATTGTATTATCAATTGTTATTCTATTCACGTAAAGTTGTTTCATGTTTGTCTCAAACATATCTAGAAGGGGCAAGCAAAGGAAAGGACACATTATCTAGGATTCTAGCATTTCATATATTGTGACGATAGTTGGTTTATGCAGAATTTAACAATGAAAAACACATAAATTAAAATCTAAATGAAAAACATGAGAGTCAAAATTGGGTTGTTGACTTCTATCAAGCAAATCAGCATAAAAAGATTTAGAACTTAGAGTTGACGGATCCAAAGAAATTGTATCCTCTCACACATGCACAATGACGTATGCAGGATTCACGGTAAACAGTATCACATAACAATGAACAAATTCTTAAACATCATATTAAGAAAGAAAAAAAGTCTAAATCATATCAACAAAAAATGATCCAAGTATATTAATACAACTTTCTTCCTTTTCCTCCTTTTAGATGTATTTATAATAGTTTTAAAAATAAATAGTACTCCATATTTTATCATTTTAACACGTAATTAACTATTACAGACAGCTTCGATCCACGGGTAAACTGTAAATCGTGCATTTTGGTTGAATCGATCTCGCGACCTTCATTGGGTAAATTGACCCGCTAAACCAGTTGGACTGTGAAAGACTAATAAGTGTCAAGCAGTGTCATTTTATTTGTTATATAAGTTATTTACATATATTTCTAATGTCACATTTTCGACGAAGCGGTGTCACATGACACTGCTTCCCCTGCGATGCCTCCGCCCCTGCACATGCACATACGCATATAGAGCGAGAGATTTGTCAAAATAAGCGAAGAATCAAAAACCGTGACTGAGTAAGTGCTTAATATTCGAGGTTAAATTGCAATCTAGGAGATAATTTCTTAACCTAATGTAACTTGGTTATACTTAACCTTGTAACATGCGGAATTCCAAACAGTATAGAGGCAGAAAAGAAAGAAATGAAAAGAAGGTTAGGTAAAATACACAAAGAAAAACAAAGACTAGCGCGTGTGTACCAAAAGTCACACCTTTATGTCATGACCCGCTACATCATCATGCCACATAGGTGTCACTTGGCATATATTTTTACCATATGGAATAGTTACATAAGTTAGGGACAAAATCTTGGTGGAATATTATAGAACTATGGAGAATTTCCTTAGAAAAGTTCTTGATATTTATACATTTGTAGGAAGGTTCTAGAGAAATATAGGGGTTTCCTTAGGAAGACCCTAGAACCCTATAGAATTGTTAGGAAAGTCCTTAGAAGAATCTAGCTGTATAGAATATTCTAGAGAAGGGACTTAGTTGTAAATATGAAAGGACTTGTAGAATAATTATAATTTACATACTAGCCCCTAGGTGATTTAGTATAAATAGGGGGAATTCATTTGTAATTCATCAACCAAGCAGGACAATCAAGTTCTCCCTAGTACAGAAGCTTCCTTTGGCAATTCTCTTGTGTTCTAACATTTCTTAGCGATCTTGAGTGTAGTAAGGTTGACTTGGCATAGCAAGAACGTGAGCAGGGTGTGCAAGATCGTGACGAGTTGTCAAGTGCCGCACGTGTACTTAGTTTAAGACTAAGGACATGACAATGTGGTATCAGAGCAAAGGTTATGACTAAGGAATGTTAGAAAGAATATAAGAAATTGCTAGAAAGAAATTTTGTAGGGAATCATGGCCGGAATTACCAAGGGCTTGGTACTTGTAGAAGGGACCAACATGAAGGTCCCTAAGCGAAAGCAATATGGCGGTGCATGGGACGCACATGAGGTAGCAGACTGGCGGAAGCTAAGGGAGCTCCGACATAGGCCACAATTCGGGAGTATGTGCACGAGTTCACTACCTTTATGTTGCAGATCTCGTCATTGTCCGAGGAAGATTCCCTCTTCTACTTCATGGACGGGTTGCAAAATTGGGCAAAGCAATAGTTAAGAAGACATCAAATAGCCAATGTGAACGGGGCCATCGGAGTAGCCTAGTCACTTGTTGACTTCAAGATGGAGCCTGACAAGTCCAAAGAAGGCAACGCCGAGAGGGATGAGGGAGATCATGATGAGGACAACAGGAAATGCATAGCCGAGGTATACAAGGGTAATGGCAAGGGGCCATCCCATAACGGACAGGGGTCTAAGAGAAATGACAAGGGGCCAAAAAAATGGTTGGAGTACGTGCCTAAAGGAGGGTGTTACTTCTGTGAAGGATCACATGGGGCAAGTGAATGCTCAGAGTTGGGGAAGATTGCACCAATGATTGGGAACTTTGCTCAAGCACATAAGGGTGACATAGGAGAAACTGCATCGATGGCGAGCTATAAAGTGATGGTATGCTATCGGACTCAGATGATGCACCAGCAGA